GTACAATCTATTTGATGGCCACATTTGGTTAGGAAAGCCATAACTAGTCTACTTATCTGTTTCTCTACAAATTAAAAGCAGATGTGGGCTTTTTCTGATTCTTCTCAAATGTATTCATCTCTTAAAACAATGTCAATAAATACCTACTTTCTCAGCTTCCCACTTAGTTTGAGATGTGTTCCAGATAGTTCATTGTTTGATGAAATGTTATTTAATTGAAATAACTGGATTAGATTTTGGATCTCTACTTTCAACTTTAGCTTCCAGCACGGTATCATCTAGTGGCATGTGTGACTCAAGTGTATCGAACAGGGTTCCCAAAATTGATATCTTTACAAATTGTAAAGGAAATCAGTGATATCCCGTCTTTCTTTGCCAATCTTTACCAATGCTATAAAACTAAAGACTAGTAAGCAAGACACTTGATGGATAAAAGTGGACCCAGCATGTGCAGCAAGCGGGGAGGACACTTGCTCTTATGGTTTGGGGTGGCTGTGGCAGTAGTATAAGATGATGTTGCCTTAGGGGATACTTAGAATACCAGTCAGCTTCGACGTGGCCTATGAAGGCTGGCAAGATGGATGAAGCTACCAAGGTTTCTATGGAAATTACAGGTTAGGTGGGCATTTTATTTATTTATTTATTTATTTTTTAGACAGAGAGAGAGAGAAAGAGAGAAAGGGAGATAAAGAAAGGGAGAGAGAAGGTCCCACGCTATTATGGTGGGAGGGGAATCCAGAGAGGGAAATTTATTCAGGTAGGAGCAGCTAAAGTGTGTTTTTTTTGGGGGGTGGGTATTTATATAGAGGCTACCACACATACAGAGTAGACTGGAAGCTCTTGCTACAGAGATTTTTGCCATTTATTGTATTGTATAAATCTGTAACTTTTCATTTTCTTATTTGATAATGTTTTTTATTTTGCAATAAACTATTTCAGTGAAAATAAATCAAATAAAAAGAAAACGATTAAAAGTTGAGTTCCAAATTTCCATTTACTACAGATATTTTCCAATAAAAGTAATATTTCCACAAAGACTGTTAATATATACAATCAGCCAGAAAAGAAATCTGTACAAGAATCTTTAGTATCTACTGAATATCAGAAATTATTTTGTCTGTAATAATAACGAACTAACCTGAGCAACTGCAGAGGGTGCTTTTACACACCACTACGAAGAATGACATTTTACTTAGATCAAATATTTTTCCAAAATAATTTTACTCATTTTAACATGTTTAACAAAAATATAGGTGAGGTGAGTCTTTTGTTGTTGTTGTTAAGGGAGTTACACTCTTGTTGCCCAGACTGGAGTGCAATGGTGCAATCTCGGCTCACCGCAACCTCTACCTCCCGAGTTCAAGCAATTCTCCTGCCTCAGCCTCCTGAGTAGCAGGGACTACATTCATTCGCCACCATGCCCAGCTAATTTTTGAAGTTTTAGTAGAGATAGGGTTTCACCATATTGACCAGGATGGTGTCAATCGCTTGACCTCATGATTCGCCTGTCTCGGCCTCCCAAAGTGCTGGGATTACAGGCGTGAGCCACTGCACCCAAGGTAAGCCTTGTAATGCACAGGTACTATTAGCAAACAAAAACTCCAAGAACAATAAGTGTTACCTCTTTTACACTAATTCCAATTGATGTTTCAGATAGAAAATCAGTGAAGTAATTTCCAACAGTAATGGGTTCCACTTTTCACCAATAGAAGAAAGATTCACTCTATAAAACATAAAATATCTGATGTTATACTGAATGTTTCCATAAATTCAGTCACAAGTTAAAGGTAAAATTAGTTTTTTTGTAGTGGCACTATGAATACAAATTTTCATGTGGTATAGATTTATAATAATTTTAAGAAAACTATGGAGGAGAAATGCACTTTGAATTTGTTAGGGTGCACATAGTTAATTAACAGATACTGTGTTGTTTCATCAGATCAGGACCAAAATATTCATTTCTTCTGGCAGTACTGGCTACCAATGGCTTGTAGCTGAGTTCTTTCCAAAAAATGTATCTGGCCAAAGGTAACTGCCTCAGCCAAAGTTAGGACATCCTTGCTGGAAGCAGCTGAACTCTAATAACTGATATCTGTTGGAATAAAAAGTCCCAATCCCTTTGTCTCAAGAGGACAAGTAATAAGGGTTATCACACTTTTAAAATCCCACATGCAACTGGCTGAGGCTTCTGTTGTAACTACATCAAAGCCCTACTTCCACTTCTAACAAAATCTGCTCTCTTTATTTATCGATATTTTTAGCAAAATTCTCAGTAAACATCAGCACTCAAATGTCTCTATGGGTATCTGTTTTCGGCAATTCAGACTTTATAGTAAAAGTGATTTTATGAAATAAATTCTTACATGGAATACTGGAGCTGTATCACAAACTAGGTAATTCACAGTGAGAATCCCATTACTGGTGGGAGCAGACAGCCCTTGGCATGTTGCAGAAGTTCACTGTGGTGAATTCATATGGAATGAAGGTGGAGGGAAATGCACTCATATCTCATGCATTTCAAAGGTTCTGGGTTGTAGTGATTATAAGGACTATTAAACTGGTATTTCTTTGGGGCATAGAAATATGTGAAGAAACAACTATGAAAAGCTGAGGCTGATTAATCACAAACTAAAAAATAAATGTGAGCCAGTGAGTTTTTAAGAGGATATAAAAATCTTTCCACAACATTCAGAAAAAATAAAGAAGAAACCCAGGAGGTAATTTAATGTTTGTGATGCTCTAGAGAAGTCAGAATTCTCAAAACCAGATGGTCTGCTATACTACTGTCAGGATGATGACTGGGAGGCAGTGGAACACTGAAACTTGTGATAGAAATATCTGGAATGATACACTTGAAAAATCCTGAATCTTCAGATTCTGCTGAACTCTCTGGACCTGAGGGAGCCATCTACTCTTCCCTGTCAATGGCTAGTGCAGTTTCCTTGACTTAGAAGTAGATGGGCCCTGCTTTGTTACAACTCACAAGCCCTTGAGGTCTAACATTTCCATCCAACATGCAGAATAGTGACTAGTGTGAAGTCTGATTAGGTTTAGCAGACCTAGAACATCACTCCAGGACCATATTCTGCAGAAACTTCAGGACATATCCAATAGGTATTGGCAGGAGAAGGAGATGTAATTTTGAGATTGTATTTTAAGAGAGCAGTATCAAGTGGGAATAAAAACATTAAGTTGGAGAGTTTAGGGAGTGATATCAGCAAGATGACAAAATAGCAGGTCCCAAATTCCTCCCATGCACACAAACAAAAATATTTAGCAATTATCCATGGATAAAAAATAGCTCTGAGGGAGCTCCAAAGTATAATTAAGATGCTGCAGCAGCTCAGCGAAGCACAATAAAACAAAAATGGCTGTGTATAAAAGGGCGAGAAGCATTTTATCTGCATGGCTTCATTCCCCAGGCTGGCAAAACTCAGTGCCAGAAAGAATCCCCTGGCCACAGATTTCCTTATTGGGCGAAAGGGGAGGAGAAAGACAGCAGCAAAATTTGCTACCAAGAATTATAGCAGCCTTTGCTGCCACCACAAACCCACACAGTCTTTGCCACCAGTGATGTCTGCAGTCTTTGCCAACACAAATTCAAGCAGCCGGAGCTTCCCAGAGCCCATGCTGCAGCACTTCCTTGGAGCCAGAGCTACCATGCATCCACCAGGTTCAATATCAACATACCTCCTTGGACAAGGAATTTTTCACATTTATGCATTTTGAATCAGCCACCATCATGCATCTGGGAACCAGCATCTCTGCACATTACCAGACTCCGTGCCACTATACACACCAGACAGCCTGTGCCCTGACACCCACTCATCAGTAAAGGTCTTTTCCTTCCAACCCCAAACTAAAGTTTCGAAGAGGTGATTGCTTCTTCAGATGTATAGAGAGTAATAGAAGTTTACAAGAAATACAAAGCAATAGAGAAATGGTGCAATTGAAAGGCCAAAATAAACTTCCAGCAACTGACCTCAAAGGAATAGAGATATGTAAATTTCCTAATAAATAATTGAATATAATTATTCTTAAGATGCTTATGAGATACAAGAAAGCTCAAACAGACAAATCATTTGGAAATCAGGAAAACAATAAATGAACAAGTGAAGTTCAACAAAGAAACAGATATCATTAAAAAGTTCTGAAGCTAAAGAACACAATGACTGAAATAAAAAATGCAATAGAATTTTAACATCATACTTGATCAAGAAGAAAGAACCAGTCAACCTGAAGACAAATTATTTGAAATTATCTAGAGGATAAAAAAATGAGAAAAATTAAAAAAGAGTAAAGAACACTCATAATATTTACAGGACACCATTGAGCAAACTGATCTACAAATTATGGGACTCACAGAAGAAGTAGAAAGAGTGAAAGGTAAAGAATGCTTATTTAAAGATGACACATTGCATATAGTGTACACTGCTCGGGTGATAGGTGCACTGATATTTCAGAAATCACCACTAAATAACTTATTCATGTAACAAACATCACCTGTTCTTTAAAAACCTATTGAAATAAAATAAGGGAAAAAATGAAAAAAATGAAGATATAATGATGGAAAACCTCCTAGATCTTGGGAAGAAAAAAGACATCCAAATTTAAGAAGTCCAAAGATTCCCAGTTAGTTTGGACATACACAGGTCTACACTGAGATACATTATAATATGTTGCCTCACCTTTTTTGGAAAAAAAAAGTAAGAAAAAGAACATTTTAAAAATAGCTATTTAAAAAAGCTACCAACATAATAACATTGTCTTGCATATGCATCAGTAACTTTAAAAGTCATGTAACTTTTATTGTAACCATTAAACTTAACATGAATATCTTTCCTTCATCTTGTCTTCACAGTAGTGGCACTAATTTTCTCTCCTTTTATCTGGCCTTGACCTAGTGCCCTTGCTATGTTAGTCCATTCTTGCACTACTATAAAGAAATACCTGAGAGTATTTATAAGAAAAAGAATTTTAATTGGCTCATGATTCTTTAGGCTGTACAGGAGGCATGCTCTGCTCAGCTTCTGAGGAGGCAACAGAAAATTGACAATCATGGAAGAGTGTGAAGGAAGTAGGCACATCTGCAAGACCAGAGCAGGAGCAAGAGAGAAAAAGGGTAAGTGCCACACACTTTCAAACAACCAGACCTAATGAGAACTCTATCTCAAACACAGCACCAAAGGTACAGTGCTAAACCATTCATGAAGGATTCACCCCCATGATCCTATCATTCCACCCCAAACTCTGCATTCAACACTGAGTATTGTAATTTAACATGAGATTTGGGTAGGGACACAGATCCAAACCTTATAGTTCTGTACCTGGCCCCTCTAAAATCTCATGTACGCACATTGCAAAATACAATCATCCTTTCTCAACAGTTTCCAAAGTCTTAACTCATACTAGCATTAACTCATAAGTCCGAAGTCCAAGGTCTCATCTGACACAAGGCTAGTCCCTATAAGCCAGTAAAGTTAAAAAAAAAGTTAGTTCCTCCCAGGATACAATGGGAGTATAGGCATTTAGCAAATACTCCCACTCCAAAAAGGAGATACTGGCCAAAAGAAAGGGGGTACAGGCCCCATGTACATCAGAAACCCAGTAGGGTAGTTGTTATATCTTAGAACTTCACAATAATCTCCTTTGACTTAATGTCTCATGTCCAGGGCACACTGGTTCAAAAAGTGGGGCTCCCAAGGCCTTGGACAGCTCTTCTCCTGTGGCTTTGCAGGGGTCAGCCCCCATGGTTACTTTCATGGGCTAATGTTGAGTGCCTATGGCTTTTCCAGGGGCAGGGGGTAAGCTGCCAGTGATTCCACCATTCAAGAGTCTGGGGAACAGTGATCCTCTTCTCATGGCTCCACTAGGTGGTACCCCAGTGGGGATTCTGTATGCAGGCTCCAGCCCATATTTTCCTTCAGCACTGCCTTAGTGGAGGTTTTCCAAGAGGGCTCCATTCCTGCAGCAGGTTTCTTTCTAGACATTGAATCTTTTCCAATATCCTCTGAAATCTAGGTAGAGGCTCCCAAGCCTCAACTATTTTACACTGTGCTTCCACAGCCTTAACACCATATAGAAACTGCCAAGGATTACAGTTTGTACTTTCTGAAGCAGTGACCCACCTGGGCCTCTTGGAGCCATGGCTAGAGCTGGAGCAGCCAGGATGTGAGGCAAAGTTCTCCAAGGCTGTGCAGGGCAGCAGGACTCTGGGCCCTTCTTATGAAATCATTCTTCCCACCTAGCCCTGAAAACTTATAATGGGAGAGGCTGCCACAAAGGTCTCTGAAATGCCTTTGAGGCAGTTGGCTCCTTTTTACATATGCACATATCTGCAGCCTGCTTTAATTCCTCACCTGAAAATTGGCTTTTCTTTTTTCTTTTTTTGAGACAGAGTCTTGCTCTGTCTCCCAGGCTGAAATGTAATTGTGCAATCTCAGCTCACTGCAACCTCCGCTTCCTGTGTTCAAGCAATTCTCTTGCTTCAGCCTCCTGAGTAGCTGTGTTTACAGGTATGCACCACAACACCTGGCTAATTTTTTTTTGTATCTTTAGTAGAGACGGGGTTTCACCATGTTGGCCAGGCTGGTCTTGAACTACTGACCTCATGATTTGCCCATCTCAGCCTACCAAAGTACTGGGAATAAAGGCATGAGCCACCAACCCCAGGCAGGTTTTCTTTTCTACTACATAGCAAGGCTGCAAAATTTTCAAATGTTATGCTCCACTTCTCTTTTAAATATAAGCTTTACTTTTATATCACTTCTTTACTCACATGTATGAGCATAAGTTGTTAGAAGCAGCCAGGTCAAATCTTGAAAGCTTTGTCCTTTAGACATTTCTTCTAACAGATACCCTAAGTCATCATTCTGAAGTTCAAAGTTTCACAGATCCTTAGGACAGAGGCACAATGCCTCCAACCTCTTTATTTATGCATAGTAAGAGTGACCTTTACTCCAGTTCCCACTTAGTTCCTCATCTCCATCTAAGACCTCCTCCGCTTGGTCTTCTCTGTCCATGTTACTATCAGCATTTTAGTCATAACAATTCAGCAAGTCTCTAGGATGTTCCAAATTTTCCCTATTTTCATGTCTTTTTCCTAGCCCTCCACATTCTTCCAATATCTGGCTGTTACCCAATTCCAAAGCTGCTTCCACATTTTCAAGTATCTTTCTAGCAATACCCTACTCCTTGGTACAAACTTTTAGTATATTCCACTCTTGCCCTTCTATTAAGAAATATCTGATACTCTGTAATTTATAAAGAAAAGAGGTTTAATAGGCTGATAATTCTGTAGGTTGTACAGGAAGCGTGGCAGCATCTGCTTTACCTCTGAGGAGGCCTCAGGAAGCCTACAATCAATGTGGAAGGTGAAGTGGGGAGCTGGTACATCTTACGTTGCCAGAGCAGGAGGAAGATAAGGAGATGTGGGATACCACACACTTATAAATAACCAGATCTTGTGAGAACTCTATCATGACGACAACAACAAAGGGATGGCACTAAACCATTTGTGAAGAATCCACCCCCATGATCCAATCACCTTCCACCAGGCCCCTCCTCCAGTATGGGGGATTACAATTGAACATGAGATTTGGGTGGGGACATAGATACAAACTATATCACTTGCTAAATTGATATAGATTATACTTATGTGTTAAGAAAACTAGGGCAACTCTATATATGATCTCATAAAGTTTTCTACTGCAAAATTTCTATCACTCCATCTTGCTTTGTTACTTTCAATCATTAGGGAGAAGACCTGTGACAAGAGGGTAGCTTCTGTGTTTTCTTGATCCAATGATTCTTGCTTCCTTGATGATTTTGTTAAGTTAATTATTTTCTTTGAGAATAAATTGGTCTTCCTAATATTCATATTAACTACTTTTTCAGACATATCCAATTTTCTCTATTTAAAGCACAACAAAACAAAATAGGAAATACCACTCTTTCTTTACCCAAGACATTTTCTCAGTTTGTCATTTGCTTTGTCATCTAGCTTTGTCTTTTGTTTTTGTATTTTTACTATCTAACGTCTATCCATCTACTACTTATATTAGAAATTAATTTTAGCATACTCATTTACTTTTTATCCAACTCCTCAAATATCTGATTTATTTCTGTTTAGGATGCTCTGCACACTGTCAAACTAAATATTCATAATTTTCAGTTTTCATGATTTTCCTAATCTAAATAATAACAATTTCTATTGCTTTCTCCACTGCCTTATGAAATCTTCTCCACCAACTCCTTCCACAGCTCACTATAGCCTTGATATCATCAGCTGGATATATTCTCTTCTATGTACTCACAAAGAAATCTATTTTTGTCATTAATTCATAGGCTTATAATTAAATCTTCATCTTTATAGCTTTTATAGTTTTCCCGATCAGTGGCACATTTTCTATTCCCTGCTTAAATTTATAACCAGATAGCCTACAATTTCCTTAACTCATCGTGTCTGCAAAATAAAGTCCTTACATGACTTGCATAGCCATCTCTTCCTTCTCATTTCTCTAATTCTGTTAACACTGAAGTTTTCTTGGCTCATTCTTCCTATTTTTATACACCTACTTATGTATTAAACCATGTTGGATTTTGCATCTTGAATTCCTACTTCCCATCCACTCTTCAAGGGTTACCTGCTTCTCACCTGGATTTCTGTTATATGGGGTATTGTTACACACAAAGAGATTTTTCTTATAGGATAGTAACAAATAGACTTGTGATAGCAGTAGCTTTGCATATTAAACAGACATTTTGTTCCTTGAGTAACAATAATGGGAGGTAGGTGATGTCTTTGAAAGAAAATCAAATAAAAACCATAAATAAATATATAAATAAATGGATCTATTGCTGAAATATTTCTGGGGATGTAATAAAATTATTCATTTTATATAAAACTATAATAAAGAGACAGATATACCAGTACTCTTATAGTGGATCTGGAAATAATTATAGATATCACAGGATTAGGAGAAATCAAACATATCATTGCACAATAATTATGAGAAGCTTCACAAAGAAAGCAGCTAAGGCTATATGGTGAAACTGGTTGTGAAATGTTAATTTTGATTTCTTATGGTTTGTGGGTTTGATGGCAAGTAAGGTATTTTGTTCTAAGAACATTAAATATTTGGCAAAGAAATGGATTCTTGGTTGGCTTTTATATTTTATGTAGACTATATTTGGAATAGGAGTAATGAGGAAGTAGAAGTTAAGGAGTAAACAGACTCACAGGCAGCCCATAACTTGAACTCTCTTCTTCTCTCCAGCTCATTTCCTAGAGGTTTTTGGTTGCTTAACCAAGGACAAAACCAGCAAGGCATGACTGTGGCTTTTATTGGAAATGAAATGAAGTGCAGAAGACACTGGCAGGACCTCTTACAAACACCTACCATTTCAGAGAAGAAGAGCTGGGGATGAGCATGGGATGGATGGAAAATAGGATGACTCTATTCAATATGTTTGAGCCTTATGCTGAGCATCAGAAGTTAATGGAAGCTGCCCCACACAGATTCTGCCAATGAGACCCAAGTATTTGCCTTAGTCTACTTGTGTACTATAACAACATGTGCTAAGCTGGGTAGCTTATAAACAACAGAAATTTATTTCTTATAATCCTAGAGTCTGGAATGTCGAGGATCAGTGAGGCTCTGGTGAATGCCCACTTCCTTCATATATGGATGTCTTCTCATTCTGACCTCACATGGTAAGGGACCAGCCTGCTCTCCAGGGTCTCTTATAAGGGAACTGACCTCAATCATAACTTTCAATGGCCTTAGCTCTTACTATAATCACCTTAGGGATTAGGATTTCAACATATGAATGCTAGGTGGACACAAACATTCAGACCATAGCAGTATTGGAGAACACTATAGACAGAATAACACAGCATAATTCAGAGTACTGTAATTTAGTCATTTATGAGGCTTTGAGACTGTTAATTGTCATGACTCCCTTTGAGAAAATTTGGCTGTAGGAATCAAAAGCATAAAATACATTTATACTTACTGACTTGGCAATATAACTTATCAAAATTGATCCTGATGAAAAATCTATGTCAAAATTATATCAAGGATATGTATCATCATTTATCATAGTACACTGTAAGGCTACATAAATATCTAACAAGAGAAGCCAGGCTATGCAAAATGATACATCCACACACTAGCATATGAAACAGCACTAAATTTAGCTCTCAAATAATTTTTAGATATTTTGAAGAATACCTCATTTCATAATGTCAAATGATGCGGGAACCAGATTTATCTACAAGTTCAAAGTTGTATATATGGGTGTGAAGAGAATGAGAGAGAGGGAGAGGTGAGAAAATACTTTAGAGTATTAGTGATCATTTTTATGTAGTAAAAGGAACTCAGGGTTTTCGTTATTTTAATTCTAAAATAAATTATGTTGCATTTTCCCCAAACTTCCTTTATGATAACTGATGTACTTTATCATTGTCCTCATGCAGTTTTTACTATTTTTATGGCATTTTAGTCTATATTAATTTATTTTCTTGTTTTTCCAATGCTCTGGTTTTGTATGTAAGTAGGGTTGAATTATTTCTCTTATTTGAGATTTGTTTTAAATTTTTTAGAATTAAAATAACTTATCAGACCTTTAGAAGAAAGGAAAAGAATGAACAAAGCAGCAATATGAAAAATTACTCAAGCAGAAATTCAGATATGTTAGTAAAGTAGAAAAGAGAATCAATATTTATAATGTAAAAACTTTTAAATAATATATATATTATGAAAGAAAAAAGTATAATCAAATATATATGTAAAGAGTCCTTTTAAAACTGAATTTAGAAATTGGCTTTAAAAACTAGGAAATATTTTCAGGCAAACAATAAAAAAGATTCATATGTATATTTTTAATTTCAAGGATAAAAAAGGGGCTCCTGGAAAATTTTTTCAAACAAATTTATATCAGATTTGCTATGAAATTGTCCCCCATCCAACGTCAGGTGAATATGAATCGACATTTATAGAATGAGCAGGCAGAAAATGTCTTCTTATTTTCTAAAGTATTTCAACTTTTTTACATACAAAAGTGAGATATAAACATTTTACCCTTGGTGAAAGTTATCTTACCTGTTCTGGATCTTTCATTTCAACAGAGACTGTGACTGAAATTGACTGAGGACAATCAGCCTCATAGATACCTACCTGAATTTGACATATGTCTCTCTCATTTGCTCATTCATTCAGTCTGTAAATATTCATCAAACCCCGGCTGTGTGTATGGCACTATTTTAAGTACTGGGAATAGAAAAGGGTATAAGATGGACGTATCCATGACCTACTGCTCCTTTTCTTCTAGTAGGGAGAATAAGAAGTTAAAAATAAGTAAGTAAATGGTTGAATAATTTTATAAATATTTAGGGCATGTCAAAAGCTTATATTTTATACTAGATCAAGATAATTTCAAATCACTCTTATAATATCTAAATAGCATAGGGTTGCTAGTTGAGGCTTTAAATTTGGATTCCTGGTGTATTTGAGCTGCCGCTAATGATTACTAGCCATGTAACCGTGGGCAGGTAATTTAATCTTTTTTGCGTTTCACAGATGAAAGTAAACAATTCAAGGGTTTGTTTAAAAAATTAAACCAGATACTATAAGTGAAGTGCTTAAGCCCATCCAAGAATATAATAGTGTTCATAAATCCTGTTATTATTATTTGAAGGAATCTCTAAAATGTCACAAGATAACACATAATAATAACATGAAAATTAGAAAATAGATTTTCAATCTTGTCTAAAACATGTAAAGCAACATTTTATTTTCTCACTTGTTTCCTTTACATCTTAGTCTAAATGTAAAAGAAATTATTTGATATTGGAAAGGCCATGAATATGTGGGCGGGTGGCAGCAGCTGTTTTGTCTCCAGCATGATCTAATGCATGGCATATAATTTAGTTCACTTACTCTGACATGAATAAAAGCCTGGCATCTTGAAATATCATTCCTATGTGATTCGTATGCTCCAAAGAAAATGAAATCAAGGTCAAAAAATATCATTCTCATACATCTTGAATCACAGTTTTTCCTATTTATTATAAACATCGGGCTAGAAAATGCTACCAATCACAAAAACCCAGAAAAGAAATAAAGTCTAATGTAAATTACAAATGATAGGGTGTGATTCCATAGTCGAAATCGAGTAAAGAGTGGTGGAGAGCGTTGAAAGATTCATCACCAAGTGTCAAACAAGATTACACAGATGGCAGGGAGGATCCATCACACAAAGGTATAAGAACAGGAAGCAGCTTGATGACAGAGTCTTCATAATTTGTGTTTATGGTCTTCTGAGTTCTAAAGAAAGTTAAGAATGGTGATGAATTTTTTAACTATAAAGGATTTCGAGGAGACATCTCCTTGGTTTGTTCACAAGTGAGGCATAGGAGCTCATGCATGATCTTCTAGAATACAAAACAGAATGTCCAAGGTGTAACTGGCTTAAAGATATGACATTTCTGCTCTGGGGGGAAATAATATTGGGTTTGTAGGGACGGATAAGGATGGGGAGAATCCTAGTGGACTGTGTGTATAAGAGATTCTGGGGGAGGAAAACAGGGGCTCTCAAGCATGACACTGCAAGGAAATTATAATAAAATGTTGTGCTCAGGGATATAATGTTAGATATAATTCACACTTGAATGTGAGTATCAGCTAACATACTGTGCCATGTAAAATGTTGTAAAAATGACTCAACCTCTTCAAGGTTACACATAGTTGATTAGGAACAATAATACTGCTTCATAGACCTGTGAAGAATAAATGAGTTGATGTATCATAGCCTCAGAGTATAATGAGTCTCATATAGCAAGCTCAACATAAGATGTAGTTTCCATTACTGTTGTTGTTGTTGTTGTTATTATTATTATTATTATTATTATATAAATGGATGTGGTGGAAGCACCACGGCCAGCTTGCCTCCTTCCTAGCAGTTAATGGGCTGGTCCTATAAACTGGAAGCAACATATTCAGTCCTGAATATAGACATTTCTCCAAATATTTAATAGAGGCAGAGTCTGTCATTTCCCCTCTAAAATGTCTTAATTTAAAAATACCTGATCTGACAACAGTTATGTAAGGCAGATTCAAAAGCCTGACTGCTGGAGGACTAGCTCTTTAAGGGCTATGCCTAAAGTCTGGAACTGACCTGATAAGATGATGCAGGGAGCAGTTCTATTCCAGAGGAATCAGTATCCCACAAGCATCTGAAGTCCCAACTTGGCTCTCTACTGAGGTCTAATCATTTCCCTGATTGCTTTCTAATAGCTCTGAGATGACGCCCAGAGTGCTTCTGGCAGGCCGCCCTGGACAGGAGCATGGAGGGTGCTGCATAGGTGACTACGTTGGCTCCTGGCTCATAGAATGCCTGGTTCAGCAGTGAAACCAGCAAAAGGCATGGTGGCCAAGATGAATCACTACACATTACTTTTTTTTTTTAATTTTTTATTGCATTTTAGGTTTTGGGGTACATGTGCAGAACATGCAAGACAGTTGCATAGGTACACAAATGGCAGTGTGTTTTGCTTCCTTTCTCCCCTTCACCCACATTTGGCATTTCTCCCCAGGCTATCCCTCCCCAGCTCCCCCCACTGCTGGCCCTCCCCTTTTCCCCCCAATAGACCCCAATGTTTAGTACTCCCCTCCCTGTGTCCATGTGTCTTCATTTTTCATCACCCGCCTATGAGTGAGAATATGCAGTGTTTCATTTTCTGTTCTTGTGTCAGTTTGCTGAGAACGATGTTCTCCAGATTCATCCATGTCCCTACAAATGACACAAACTCATCATTTCTGATTGCTGCATAATATTCCCTGGTGTATATGTGCCACATTTTCCCAATCCAGTCTATCATCAATGGGCATTCGGGTTAATTCCAGGTCTTTGCTATTGTAAACAGTGCTGCAATGAACATTCGTGTACATGTGTCCTTATAGTAGAACGATTTATTTTATAGTCCTTTGGATATATACCCAGTAATGGGATTGCTGGGTCAAATGGAATTTCTATTTCTAAGGCCTTGAGGAATCGCCACACCGGCTTCCACAATGGTTGAACTAATTTACACTCCCACCAACAGTGTAAAAGTGTTCCTTTTTCTCCACATCCTCTCCAGCATCTGTTGTCTCCAGATTTTTAATGGTTGCCATTCTAACTGGCGTGAGATGGTATCTCAATGTGGTTTTGATTTGCATCTCTCTGATGACCAGTGATGATGAGCATTTTTTCATATGATTGTTGGCCTCATGCATGCCTTCTTTTGTAAAGTGTCTGTTCATATCCTTTGCCCAATTTTGAATGGGCTTGTTTGTTTTTTTCCTGTAAATCTATTTGAGTTCTTTGTAAATTCTGGATATCAGCCCTTTGTCAGATGGGTAAACTGCAAAAATTTTTTCCCATTCTGTTGGTTGCCAATTCACTCTAGTGACTGTTTCTTTTGCCATGCAGAAGGTGTGGAGTTTGATCAGGTCCCATTTGTCTATTTTAGCTTTTGTTGCCAATGCTTTTGGTGTTTTGTTCATGAAGTCCTTGCCTACTCCTATGTCCTGGATGGTTTTGCCTAGATTTCCTTCTAGGGTTTTTATGGTGCCAGGTCTTATGTTTAAGTCTTTAATCCATCTGGAGTTAATTTTAGTGTAAGGTGTCAGGAAGGGGTCCAGTTTCTGCTTTCTGCACATGGCTAGCCAGTTTTCCCAACACCATTTGTTAAACAGGGAATCCTTTCCCCATTGCTTGTTTTTGTCAGGTTTATCGAAGATTGTATGGTTGTAGATATGCTGTGTTGCCTCCGATGCTTCTGTTCTGTTCCATTGGTCTATATCTCTGTTTTGGTACCAGTACCATGCTGTTTTGATTACTGTAGTCTTGTGGTATAGTTTGAAATCTGGTATTGTGATGCCCCGTGCTGTGTTCTTTTTGCTTAGAATTGACTTGGCTATGCGGGCTCTCTTTTGGTTCCATATGAAGTTCATGGTGGTTTTCTCCAGTTCTGTGAAGAAAGTCAAAGGTAGCTTGATGGGGATAGCGTTGATTCTGTAAATTACTTTGGGCAGTATAGCCATTTTAATGATATTAATTCTTCCTAACCATGAACATGGCATGTTTCTCCATCTGTTTGTGTCCTCCCTTATTTCGTTGAGCAGTGGTTTGTAGCTTTCCTTGAAGAGGTCCCTTACGTTCCTTGTGAGTTGTATTCCTAGGTATTTTATTCTTTTTGTAGCAATTGTGAATGGCCATTCCTTCTTGATTTGGCTTTCTTTAAGTCTGTTATTGGTGTAGAGGAACGCTTGTGATTTTTTCACATTGATTTTATATCCTGAGACTTTGCTGAAGTTGCTTATCAGTTTCAGGAGTTTTTGGGCTGAGGCGAAGGGGTCTTCTAGATATACTATCATGTCGTCTGCAAATACAGACAATTT